AAACCATAAGCTCTCTAAGGGTGGTTGTTACTGTGCAGGTAGTGCTGCTGTGTGGGGCAGGTTAGAGACTAAGAGACCCCACCCTTAAAAGCCTAACAAACAAAAGGAGACAGAAGAAGAGACAGCAATAAGACAAAAGGAGACAGAAGAAGAGACAGCAATAAGACAAAGGGAGACAATAAAAGACACCGCAAGGAGACAGCAGGAGACAGAAGAAGAGGCAGCAAATAAGACAGCAGGAGGCAGAAATAGAGACAGCAAGAAGACAAAAGGAGACAGAAGAAGAGGCAGCAAGAAGACAAAAGGAGACAGACAGAGAGACACAAAGAAGACATTAAAAGGCAGAAGAAGAGACAGCAGTAATGCATTAAGAGGCAAACAGAGCGACACAGAGAAGAAAGGAGGAGACAGAAGAAGAGACACCAGTAAGGCATTAAGAGACAGGGATAGAGACAACAAGAAGACATGAAAAGACAGAGAGAGAGACACCAAGAAGATATTAAAAGACAGGGAGAGAGAGGCACAGGAGAGAAGGAGACAGACGAAAAGGAGACAGCGAGAAAAAGATATACAAAACAGTCAGGAAGAGACAGAGACAGAGACAGAGAGACGCACAAGACAGCAAGAGACAGAAAGGCAGACACCAAGACGCCCAACAGACAGCAGCAGACATGGATATAGACAATAACAAGACAGAAGGAGACAGTAAAGGAGACAGCTAGCAGGTGTATGTGCAGCTCTACAGGGAGCGAATAGGGCTCAAGAGCTGTGCTACATGCATAAGCAGTGGCAGTTCGTTAGCTTAATTATAATTAAATTATTTCTTTTATATTTATTTATTTATTTATTTATTATTTATCCTTATTTATCTTCTTATCTACCCTCTTAGCCACTGAAGACAAACAGCTAGCACTCTTCATCACTGCTCAATACCCTTAGACGAAGAAAAGAAGTAAAAGGGGTTTAATCGCTCAATTTCTATTATCTTTTTAAATTATTTAATTAATTTAAAAATATTTAAATCATTTTAAACATTCTTTCTCAGCATTCAGCTGTATATACAGCTCAACAACAACTATAAGACAGCCTACCCCCCTCTCTAGGGGCCTCCCTTCCTGGGTGTCTATACAGCAGCAATAAAATCTTTTTAATCGAGGAGCAAGTCAATAAATAGAATTAATATTTTAATTTAAGTATTTAAATAACAATAAATATTAAAAATATGCATAAAACTCAGGTGTACGTACACCGCAAATTAACAACAAAGCTAGAGAGAGACTGCCCTGTCTCGCTGCTGCTGCAGGCCTACAACCAGGGGCCCAGGGGGGCCCCCCTAACAGCAGCAAAAGAAAAAGTTTGTGTCTTTGTTTATTGTTTTATTTTGCGTTTTATATGTTTGTTTAGCATTTAGAGACCCCGTAGCAGCTGGAGTTGTGAGGAGCTCAAGCCTGTTGCTGCTCCTGCTCCTGCTGCTGTTCCTGCTGCTGCTGCTGCTGTTGCTGCTGCTGCTGTTGCTGCTGGAGCGATGGCGCGGTGTTGCTCTTTGACTTTCTGTCTTTTCACTGTCTCTTTGTCTCCTTTTGTGTTTTATTTTCTGCTGATTAAACAGCCTTCAGCTGTCTCTACCCTCCACCCTGACAGGGCTTACACCTCCCTTCGCCTTTAGCATTGCTCTGGTCCACCGAGCAGCAGCAGCAGCTGCTGCCGCAGCATTTGCAGCAGCAGGAGCAGCAACAGCAGCATCAATCGCAGCAGCAACAGCAGCAGCAAAGAGTCTGCAGCACCTAACAGCCAAATCCCAGCTCTCTTCACTCACGAGAAGGGGGCAGCCTACTCTGGCCCAGACCACCCGCTGCTGCTGCAGCAGCAGCAGCTGCTACCTTCGTTTGCTGCTCCAGCAGCCTCGACATACACTGAATACAGCAGCAGTAGCAGCAGCAGCAGCAGTGACATTGACAGCAGCAGCAGCAACTGCAGCGAATGAAGAAGAACTCAAGGGCTGCTCTCCAAAGAGGCAGCAGCGCCGGCCTCCTGGCTGAGACGGAGCAACGGTAGCAGCAGCAGCAGCAGCAGCAGCAGCAGCAGCAGCTGCTGCTGCTGCTGCTACACTAGAAGCCCTAGTATCCCGCAGAGCAGGGCTTCATAGATAAGAGACCCAGCCCGTCGGTCTCGCAGAGGCCACGCTGCTGCGGGAAAGCCAGCAGCAGCAGCAGCAGCAGCAGCAACAGCAGCAGCAGCAGCAAGAATTGTACATGATGGATTATCTAGCGGTGTTGGGGCCCCGCTCTAATGGGGATGGCATGGCTGTGGCCTTGTCAGCACAACCAACGCCTCGGTCGGCAGCAGTAGCAGCAACAGCAGCAGCAGCAGCAGCAGCAGCAGCAGCGAAGTCTTCTCCTTCTCTGCATGCGCTGCTGCCTCCGTCTCCAGCAGCAACAGCATATGCGCATTCAGATACATCGACACAACCAGAGAGACCGTCTCTGCTGTATCCAAGTCCTTTGCTGCTGCCTCTTACCCCTAATACTCATAAAGGGGGCTTATGCTCTGCAGTGCCCTCCCCGAAGCAGCAGCAGCAGCTGCTGCAGCTGCAGCAGCAGCAACAGCAGCTCTCAAGGGCCCCAAATGAGGCAATGAAGGCAATAGAAGACCCTCAACAGCAGCAGCAGCTGTTTATAACAGGAGATGCAGACAGTCGGGATAGTACAGCAGCAGCAGCAGCAGCAGCAGTTGCTGCTGCGGCAGCAGCAGGAAGGGTACTTGCAAAGCCTTCCTCTACTACGCGCCTTCTGCAGACGCCTAATCTGCTGCCTGGGTCAGCTGCTGCTGCGGTAGCAGCAGCAGCAGACAAACCCGTGTGGCCGCTAAGCAGCAGCAGCAGCATCACAACGCATGCAAGTTGCAGCAGCTTAGCCACCTTAGGCAGCAGCAGCAGCAGCAGCGGGAGCCGCCCAGCCCCGGCATCTGTAAGCAGCATTGTTTCTCTTTCTGCTGTTGAGCCTCTCCTGCAGCAGCAGCAGCAGCTGCTGCAGCAGCAATTCGAGATTCTCCAGCAGCGCCAGGAGCTGCAGCAACGCCAGAAGCAGCAGCAGCAACAGCAGCAGCAACAGCAACAACGAATCCATGAGGTCGTCACGCAGCAGCGCAGCTTTGGGGAGACACGAGTGTCCCCTAGGCAGCGGCTGCAGCAGCAGCAGCAGCAGCAACTGATGCTGCTGCAGCAACAGCAGCAGAAACAGCACCAAAAGCAACTGGCAGAGCATGCAGCAGCAGATGCTCCCTGCTGCAACCCTGGTGCTGCAGCGCAGCAAACGCAGAGGCCCCCATGGATCCGAAGACCCGGGCAGCAGCAGCAACAGCAGCAGCAACAACAACAACAGCAGCAGCAGCAGCAGCAACAGCAACAGCAGCAGCAACAGCAGCAGCTGCAGGAGCACCAGCAGAGCGCGCAGGCTCCAGCAGCACAGCAGCACAAACAGCAGCAGCAGCAAGCTACCTTCCTATGGGGCCCCGTGCTGCAGCAGCGCCGCTGCCAGCCATGGATTGACCATCGCATGCAAGCAGCAGGACTGCTGCAGAACGGCAGCACTTTCATGTCTCAGCAGCAGCAGCAGCAGCAACAGCAGCAGCAGCAACACGTGGAGCAAACCACACCGAGCTCTCCTCTTCTGCTGCAGCCGCAGCAGCAGCAGCCGTTGGTGCTGCAGCAGCAACGTGCTGCTCCCCTCTCGGTTCAATTGAATGGACCCGGGTCTTGCTGCACTCGTTCGCATGCTGCGCCATGCGAGCAGCAGCAACAGCAGCAGCAGCAGCAGCAGCAGCCAAGAGCATTACTCTGTCAAGAAGAACCCTGCAGCATACGGGGAGCGCTAAGCCCGCAACTGGGGCATTGCTGTTTGCTGCAGCAGCAGCAACAACAACCCTTTCAACACGAAGACTGCCTGTACACTCCAACCCCGCAACTGCAGCAGCAGCAGCAGCAGCAGCAAGCGGTGTGCAGCGGGTGCTGCATTAACAACCACTCGGAGCAGCAGCCGTTCGCGTTGATGAATTGGCCTTCACAGTCTTGCTGCTTTGCTGCAGACCAAGGAGCAGCAGCAGCAGCAGCTGCTGCTGCAGAAGCTGCCTATACACCTCAGGAGCCAAGCTCTTGCCCTTGCTGCTCCCATTCTGCTGCAGCAGGAGCAGCGCAGCAGCAGCAGCTGGTCTTGCTGCAGTATAAAGACATGCTGAGGCAGCAACGTCGAATCATTATAGAACAGCAAGAAAAAATAATGCTACAGCAGCAGCAGGACTGGCTGCTGCAGCAGCGGCTGGCTTTGCTGGAGCAGCAACAGCAGCAGCAGCAGCAGCAGCAGCAGGTTCAAAGGACTGCTTGCGGATATGGCTTCTTTGACAACGTAAATGAGGGTTATGCTTGTGGTTGTTTCTTCAGAAAAAATGCCTGCAGCAGCAACTGCTGCAGCGGCAGCAGCTGCTGCAGCAGCAGCAGCAGAGTCCCGGCGTGCTGCTGTAATGAGGAGGCCTACCCTGTAGCTATTGATGCGCTGCAGCAAACTGCAGCGTATGGCTGCAGCTGCAAAAGCAACATTGAGGAGCAAAGTCGTGCAGCAACAGCAGCGGATTCCGAATCAGCTGCTGCTGCTGCTTCAGCAGCAGCTGCTGCTCAGCACAACTTTGCTGCTCCGCTCCCCTCCCCCACTGCTCCAGACACAAGCGCAGCAGCAGCAGCAGCTCCTGCTGCTGCAACGGGGACATCCTTAGCAGCAGAATCGCCAAAGGAGCTGCGTATGGAGAAGGCGAGCAGGAGGCAACAGCCGTGCAGCAGCAGCAACTGCAGCAGCGACAGCAGCAGCAGCAGCAGCACGAGCAGCGAAGAAAGCAATCTTTGCTGCTGCAAAGAAAAACCTTGTGCTTGCCGAGAAGAGCTCTGGCTTTCAAGAGCTCTCGGTTGGGGTGTAGCAGGAACAAGGAGGTGGCGGAGGCGGCTGCGTGGCTGCAGCAGCAGCAGCAGCAGCAGCAGCAGCGGCAGCAGCAGCAGCGGCAGCAGCGGTGACAGCTGCCGCAGTAGCAGCAGCTCCATCAAAAGAGAAACCTCCCCGTACGCTCCAGACGCTCTTCCGTCTGCAGCAAACCAGGGGAGCAACAGCAGCAACACCAACAACAACAACAGCAACAGCAGCAACAGCAACAGCAACAGCACCCGCCGTAGGAAGGGCCTTCGCCGCAGCAAAGGCCGGGGCAGCAGCAAAGAGACCCCACAACCAAACAGTGTACATATACCACCCTCAGTGCTGCGGTGTCTCAATACTCGTCTGAAAGTGCGGCAGCAGGCTCTCGTGCGCTGTCTCCAGATGCGGGCAACCTTCTTAGAAGCAGCAGATAGAGCCCTGCAGCAGCAGCAGCAGCAGCAGCAGCAGAAGCAGCAGAAGCAGCAGCAAAACGGATGGAACCGCAACAGCAGTAGCAGCAGCAGCAGCAGCAAAGGGATCACAAAGGCAATCGATGTTCAGGCCTGGCTGCTGAGGGCACAGCTCTGCTGCCAGCAAGAAGAAGCAGCACTTAAAGATATGCTGGCTAAGCAGCAAAGGCGCCGCCGTCGCTAGCAGCAACAGCAGCAGTAGCAGTAGCAGCAGCAGAAGTGCAGCAGCATATTTGGCCGAGTCCTTCTGCGTAGTTGTCGAGGTGTTTCTGCAGCCTCAGCAGCGTATTTGCTGCTGCTGCCTCGCTGCAGCAGCAGCAGCAGCAGCAGCAGCAGCAAGGGATATAAGTAAATAGCTTAAAGGCTTCTTAAGAACTTATAAAGGCCTCGCAACAAATCCACAGCGTATGCAGCGCCGTTTAGGGGATCGGCGCAGCAAGACGGTCCCAGCGGAGACACCCGGGGCCTAGCACACCCCACACTGTCACCTTTAAGAAAAGCAGCAGCAAAAGCAGCAAAAGCAGCAAAACCACCAGCAGCAATAGCAGCAGAAGCGCCAGAAAACGCAGCAGCACCAAAAGCAGCAGCAGCAAAAGCAGCAGCAAAAGCAGCAGCAAAAGCAGCAGCAGCAAAAGTAGCAGCTAAACAAGCTTTAAAACCCTCAATGAGTCATTGCCACGCCCGTGGTGAGGCTGCCTAATAGCTAGCTACAGCTAGCTGTAGCTAGCTGTGTAGTTCCCTGGTCGCGTTAGCCAGCTAGCTGCTTATCCAGCTAGCTGCTTACCTAGCTAGCCGCTTAACTAGCCAGGTAGCTGCTTAGCCGGCTAGCAAGATAGATAGCTAGCTAGGTAGGTAGCTAGCTGCTTGGCCGGCTAGCTAGGTAGCTAGCTAGTTAGCTAGCTGGGTGGCTAGCTAGCTAGCTAGGCACGTAGGCCAAGAGGGAGGAGGGGAGGTGTATGAGACGGGTAATTGATAGATAAAAGAGATTATAAATAGAGAGATGATGAAAAGATAATACCCCTCCTAAGCTGTCGAACAGCAGCAACACACTTTGCTTCAAGCTCCTGATTGCCTATAGCTTTTGCTGCACTCGCCAGCTGTCTTAGCAGCTCTTCAAGTCTTCGCATGCATCTAATAACAGTGCCTTCATATAAAGAAGTGCTACGAATAAGAGCAGCAAAAGACTGACCCTGAGCCCAGCCGTATGTTAGAGTAACCAATGCATGCTTGAAGTTATTTACATACGCCTCAACTGCTTCTACCTCCCTCTCCTGCTGCTGCTGCTCCTGCTGCTGCTGCTGCTGCTGCTCTTCACAAGGAGGCCCTGAGCCCCATACATAGCCGCACTCTACGAAGACACGCGCTATAGAACGAGCTACCTCCCTCACCTTCTGTACACCTGAATGCATGCAAGCAGCAATAAATATAAACAAACAAAACATGAAAACACATGCAGAACTGCTCCTGCTCTTCCTCCTCCTCTTGCTGCTGCACAAGCAGCAGCAGCAACAACAGCAGCAGCAAACAGCAGGCTTACATCGATACAACAACATTTAAACAAGGGGACCCGCACAAACTACAGAAAAAATAAAACCATCAGCAGCAGCAACGCCACAACCAGCAGCAGCAGCAGCAACATGCCCGGCATCCAGCAGCATTAGCATTAGCAGCAGCACTATTAGCAGCAGCAGCAGCAGCAGCAGCAGCACTATCAGCAGCAGCAGCAGCACAATTAGGAGGAGTATGATAAGGGTCTGACCTGCGAGTAGTTTGGGGTGTACAGGCTCAGGCTCATCATGTTTTTCATGACAGACAAGACAGCTAAGTACAGCGCAGATTTCTTCGGCGTTCAAGTCTTTTAATGCATTTGAGAATAATAACTCTGAGGCTAATAACTCGTCAGCCGTTGATACTTCACAAGCAATGCGTCCCTTCAACGTCACCACATCTTCACCTTCTAAGAAACCCAAGCGATGTAATACGCGCCGCATACTGCGCAGCGAATCCTATACACACATTTTAAACAAACAATTATATATATATAATATATATATATATTGTATACAATATTATATATAGATATATAGATATACATACATATATCTAATATATATATATATATATATATATATAGACATATAGATATGTAGATATACAAATATAGATATATAGGTATATGTATATATATATATATATATGCATATATTATACATATATATAATATATATATACA